TGGCTGTTTAAAATATTTTGTTTACAATAGTAAGATGAAAATCTTGGCACATTGGTCTTGTAGGTATAAAAAATATTTAATGTGAAATTTGAATAAAATTTTAAATGTTACAATTTTGCACTTATTTATAGTACAGTTTAAAACGTTGAAGCCTCACTTTGAAATAAGTGAACAATGTAGCGTGATTTGTTATTGGTAAATATTTTTGACATCCCAACTCTACTGCCTTGTATAAGGTATCTGTCCTTTGAGGTGCCTGTGTTTTACAGTAAGTAGTCTGTCTGTCTGCAAAAAGAAATAAAAAAACTTGTTCATTCAATTGCCATTCAAAAACCTGCCAACCAGAAACAGTGTAAAAATGTTTAAATTTAATAATCGGTGTAGGTAGGAATATTTTAAATAGGTAAAAGGTGTGGTAGTGTTACTACTACGGGGGGGGGGGGGGGGGGGGAGAGAGACCAATTTAATTTTGCTGTTTGTAATTTTAAGTTGCACTTAATTTTTTTTTGCAGGGGGTGAGGGCGGGGGTTAATTGACATTTTTACCACACTAAGTTTTTTGGTTTTTTGTTTTTTTTTTCCTCATGTGCACTTACTGCACAGCAGTGTTGAAAACCAAAATAGAAGATAATGTCATTTTTTTTCTCTTGAACACTTGAACAATGCATGATTTTAATTCAGAATCCTGATAAGTGCTCTGTTCCCACTGAAATTAGGAGACATTTGCAGTGATTTAAGTGTATTATTTCTGGACCACTTCTCAGAGGACTTTATTTCAAAGGTCATTGTTGAGTACCTGTATGATGCAAGACAGTGTCATATAAAGATACTAGACACAAAGGGCTCCTATACATGTGCAGGGAGCAGACACGATTAATTGAGTCTGCTGGAACATGGTAATTACCGTGCTTCAGCAGACTCCAGAATCATGTGCATCAGCGTCCTTGTGCTGAAGAACGATGGTGTGGCACTTTAGAGCTTTTTTGAGCTTTAGTTCAAAGCACCCTGCTGCAATTTTTTAGCGTGGGGGCACCAATACACGTGAAGCTTTTGGAGCTGTGCTAATTAAAGCACCCCTCCGCCTCCCAGAGCATGTCTATAAACACCCTAACAGCGGAACCTAGAAGCAGGACAACTACATTAATGCAGTACTATCCTGGGCTAATAAGCCCAACTTCTCAGCAGAGCTGCTTGGCATGCATAGCATTGCACAAGGTGGGTGTGCTGTGCTGGTTCCAGAGCTAGCATGGGATGCCTTTACATGGCATTGCCTTGTGCCTGATGGACATACCCTGGTAAACTGAGGAGTTCCTGTTTGTGGTGTGTATGGCATACGTTTGAAATCCAGATCGTGAGTACCCTGGAAGACTCTGTGGTGACTGGAGCATTTGATGATAGCACCACAAACTGGAAGCTAAGCAACTGAGAAGGAGAGAAATTTTATTGAGACCTGCAAACTGATATGGTAGTAACTAACTCAATAAAATTTGAAATGTATGATCTGTAATGCATTCTACTTATACCTCTCTTCCAGTTAAGGTAGGATTATTCACAATGTACATGCTTAAAACCCAAGAAATATTTCAGCAGAGCTATGGGTGACTACATTTGGATTTCCCTTTTTTATTAAAAGAAAACAAAATCTGAGATTTTATTAATCTAGATGCCTGAAGTTTAAAAATAAAACTTCATAAAAAGGGCAAAAAGCACAAGTCCTTCAGCAGTGCTTTGTAAATTGCATTTGAAAGAAAAAGTTTCTCTTTTGCTATTAGTTGGTGATGATGAAGGGAAGCACTTTATTCTGGTTGCTCATGAATGTCCTGATCCAGATGTCACATTTCAGCATAGTTAATGGAGCTTGAGCCTGCTTTGGCTGTCATGGAAGTAGACTGAATATTTGCTAATGATTTCATAGGAAATGCAATGAAATGCTTGTATAGAAAAATGAGCTAGCCCTGTGTCTGGACTTCCTAGTGACATTTTTCAAAGCATTTAGCAAAGCTATTTGTGTAATTTAACACTAATCAGATTCCAGTGACTAACACAAATACAGATGTGGAAATTCAGCCCTTAACTGAGGCAGGAATGTTTAGGCTTTATCAGGGTATGGTACTGTGAACAAATTAGTGGTTTTCTATCGAGCATAAGAGTAAAACTTTTCATTTTGTTTATTGACCCCTAAAAATAAGAGCTTAAGAGGATGGTGGTTGTATTGAAGTGGTTTTTAGTTCCCAGATTTCAAGTGTTATCCAGGTAAATGGAATGAGATCTTGGCTCTAGAGAAGTCAGTGGAAACATTCTCATAGACTAGAATGGGGCCAGGATTTCACCACGAGCCTTTAATCTTGATTAATTATTAAATGATATTTAATTTATATTCAGAATTTGAACTGTGATGCAACACCACAAATGATAGAATTTGATAGAAAGCACAACTAGGTGAGTTCGTTAAAATGTATCTGCTCCACAGACACTGCTGTACTGCAGCTCATGCTAACTTTAAAATAGCAGACATGGGAACTGGTAATGGTAAAGGTATGGTAGTACAGAAATTATGGCTAATGCCTTGAATATCTTCCTAGTTTCTCAGGCTGGTTTTGCAGTTCATGCTGAGTTCTGTGCTCTGATGTTAGCAGTGTACAGCTGCAACAGCAAGTTAGTTTTAAGCTATCATAACTGAGCTGTCATCATTGCTGTAATTGTAACATAGAAAGGCCCCCCAAATAATTTCTTGTGCTTAGTACTCAACCATACACCCATGTACTTGTTTATGTGGTGCACCTAAAAACATTTAAAAAATAATTACCTTGTAAACTGCACTATGGTTTTGGAGGCTGAAAAATAATCTATATTTATGCTGCCAGTTTGTCATCATATTTATATGAAACTGAAACATGTAAATTATATTTTTCTTAAACTTCACTGTATTCAATTAAATTAAATTCCATGTGAGGTATCCTTCCTATCTCTTATCCTGTTTGTCACACTTTCCTCTATTGTGACATTTTCCAAATATAGCAAGCTAAGTACAGATTGGGATGCTTTCATGTCAGGGGTTGTAATCCATGCGAAGTCTGAGTAAGCTTTGAAAAATTGGAATGCAGAATTTAGCTGCACAAAGAATCCAGTGTTGATGTTGGTCTATTTTTAAATAAACTTGCTGTTTCTATTAGATTTGTAATTCTGTATTGTCAGGCATTTAGATGTATAGAAAAACTGCATTGTGAAATACATTCTGGGCACCTTACTGAAATTGGGTCCAACTTGAAGCATTCAGAGGAAGGGAAACTTAAAATTTTGGGGGAAATAATTAACTTTTATTTTAAATTGTGTACTGCTGTAGTAAATGTTTAGAAAGAAATACAGCATGTTTTATTACTTATGTACAGGTTTCAAGTACTAATGAAGAACCTCAGCAGAATTTTTCACTGCTGTTAGTCTCATGATTGCAGAATCATTAACCTGTTCTGCATTTCTTGCTGATCAAATAATATTCTTGTTAACTAATTAGTTATGATTACAGTATTATTAGGAATGAGTAAAAGCTGCTCTCTTCATCAATATATAGTTTTACTATCGTAGATGAGAGAGAAAATATTATTATGGGGGGACTGAGTGCATATGTCAGCACGAGAACTACAGCTCCCATTGTGCTCTGCACTGTGCAACACATGCACAGTTAGTTAGCCTCCTTTTCCTCAGCCACGTGGAGCTGAGCGTGCATGGCTCGCCTGGCTGCACGCTGAGCAGCACCATTGTGCAGCTGCAGTCTCCAGCCTCTGCAAAATTAGCTTGAGGGGGTTAAGCCCCTCCAAGCCCTGGCCTTCCATCACCACCTATGTTTGTTATACCACAGAGCCCCAATGACTATTTGTACGTTTGAAGCTCAAAAAAATGTGATTTCATTACTCTCTAATTATGGTAATGTGTATTTTTAATTAATTAAACTTGGAATGCTGTAAGTGTTATATGGGGTGGGGAAGAAGTACACAGTTAACGTTCTAATTTTCACCATTACTGTTAATTACTTGAGATTGGAAATTTTTGAACTTGAAATATTTTACAGAATAATGGCTTATGAAAGAATTCTTTGTAATGAGTAAATCGAGTGTATACATCCTAACAATTAACAAAAACACTAGTTTTGATGCCATATACTGTCTTCTAGCTTTTAAAAGTTGCTTTAATGCAAGAGTCATTAATCTTTACAGAATAATTTAGACAGACAATTTGTAAGATGTCTGAGATTTTTAAATTTTCCTTTCTCTAATGCGCTCTGTGGGAATACATACTGCTCTGCAGCAGTATTATGCCAGTACTACATGTGCCTCTAGCCAATTAAAATAGTCTGAGGTTGAAACACTCCTACATTTCTTCATCGTCTTAATACGAACCAACAATTCACAGCCCCCTTTCTCTACAGCCTTACACCCCCCCAAAAAAAAAACTGTACCAGAACCCCTGTTCCACTTAGATAATTACTAATATGTATATATGAACTGTTAACACTAATTAAGCTGTATTATGTTTAGTCTCATTTTGTGTCAATCAAAGCAAGGCACACAATAACATTTGATAGTGTTAAACTTTTAGAAAACGTACTAAGAAGCGTCCTCATCGATTTAATGTGTCTGTTTTAACATCTTTAAAACATGTAAATAGTGACTACTTGGATCATTATTTTGGGACCATGTCATACTCGTAGAAAGTATAGCAGTTGGTATCTATCTTTTTTTCCTCAAGGATTCCTAATGTAACAATTTCATTTCTCATTGAAGTATGTGGAAGGTAATGGAATTAATTTTGTTTATACAATTTTAGTAAGACAAGACCTTATTCCACTTTCAAATGTGCATCAAGAATAGTCTGTAGGAGTGTTGCTTATGGATAGACTAGCTTCTTTTGCCTTATGATACAGGTATGGGAGTGCATAATACCTTGCTCAGACAGTTACTGAATTGATT